CCTTTCCAGGGCACCAGAACCCGCTCGGCCATGCGCATCAGGATATCGATGCTGTAGCCGACGATACCGATCAGGATGATACCCATGATGACGATATCCGTGAGCTGGAACTTCGATGCAGCGATAATCATCATCCCCGCACCTTTCTGCGCGGCAACCAGTTCGGCGGCCACGACCGTTCCCCAGCAGACGCCCATGGCAACGCGTGCACCGGTAAAGATCTCGGGGAGGGAATTGGGAACGATGACATAGCGCAGGATCTGGCGCTTGTTGGCACCGAGCGAAAAGGCCGCGTGGACTTTACTGATATTGACACCTGAAACGCCGGCCCTGGCTGCAATCGTCATGATCCAGAGCGCTGCCAGGAACAGCAGCACGATCTTGCCGGTTTCCCAGATACCGAACCAGATGATGACCAGCGGGATCAGCGCAAGCGGCGGAACCGGGCGCATGAATTCCACGATCGGATCGAACCAACCGCGCACCCAGCTGGACAGGCCCATGGCGTATCCTAGCGGGATCCCGATAATCGAACCGGCGACAAAGCCACCAATAACGCGCAGCAGCGACCAGCCCAGATGCTCCCACAGCGTGAAATTCTGATACCCTTCGGAAGCGATCTCCGCAAAGCGACTGACCACAGCTTCCGGTGAAGGCATCCAGATGGGTTCCATCTGCAGCCCCTTGCTGGGTTCAAAATTCAGTGACCCCTTGGGTGTCATGCTTACCCTGCCGTTGGAAACACTGACACTTTCGCCGGGTGCGATTGGCTGACCGTCAACTTCCGTAACGCGCGCGCCCTCACCGTCATTGCGGGTTACACGCAAAAGCACGGAGCGCCAGGCACCAACAGTTCCTGAATCGTCCTGTGCAAAGCCTTCCTTCGGCGCCACCTCGGGAGCATCGATCTTTTTGCCAGGTTCGTGGACGATGACGTCCACATTGGCTTCACTGGTTTCACCAGCTTCGTTGGTAACGGTGTAACTGAAGCCCGTCTCACCGGTAAAGGGACCGGGTACGTGGAAAGGAACCAGCTTCGAACCGGTGAACGCGCCCCAGATGAAGAAGATAACGAGCACCGAAATCACGGATGCAGCCCTGTTTGGGCGGATTGCGCTCTCGTCGCCAAACGTCACCGTTTTCAGGCTGGTGTAAGACTGCCCGCGCTGCATCAGCGTGCTCAGATAACTGACCAGAAAATAGCTCGCCAGAAACAGCGCCGCGTAAGTCAGAAAAACAATTGACCCGGTCATGCCGCTGTCTCCGATCGACCCATGATTTCCTCTTCCATTTCCCAGATCATCGAGAGGATTTCTTCACGGGTTTCACCAAAACCCTCGCTTTTTTTGACTTCCCTGAGATCGGCTTCAACACCGCGATCGGCAAAAGGCAAGCGGTATTCCTTGTGAATGCGTCCCGGTCTCGGGGCCATCACCAGAAGGCGTTCTCCCAGAAGCAGGGCCTCTTCCACCGAGTGGGTGATCAGGATGACGGTCTTGCCGGTTTCCTTCCAGAGCTTCAGGACAAGACCCTGCATCTTCTCGCGCGTCAGTGCGTCCAGAGCTCCCAGGGGTTCATCCATCAGAATGACGTCGGGATCATTGGCCAGGCACCGCGCAAGAGCAACGCGTTGCTGCATGCCGCCTGAAAGCTCATAGACAGCCTTTTCCTTGAAGTCCTGCAGACCCACTGTTTCAAGCAGATGATCGACAATCTCGTCGCGCTGCTTCTTCGGCATGGATTTCATGCGTGGACCGAAGTCGACATTCTTGCGGACATTCATCCATTCGAAGAGCGCCCCTTTCTGAAACACCATGCCACGTTCGGCATCGGGACCGGTGACGATGTGACCATTCAATCGCACCTGTCCGTCCGTTGGAGCCAGAAATCCGGCGACAATGTTCAAAAGGGTGGTTTTCCCGCAGCCCGAAGGACCCAGTACCGACATGATTTCGCCGGTGTTCAACTCAATGGAAACGTCCTTGAGTGCCTGAACGTGCGTTCCGTTGGGTAGGTCGAAACGCATGGATAAATTTTCGATATGGAGGCCGTCCATTGAGAGTCATCTCCTGCAGTGTGAAGAATGGGAAATTGGGGCGACGTCAGTTGCCGCCCCAAGACTTGCAGGGATGCTGGCTTATTCTGTTCCCGTCGCAGCCAGGTAGCTTGAGTCCACGGCATCGACATAGCTGTCGAGGGCCTGCGGGATCGAGCCGGCTTCCTGGAAGACATCTGCAACACCGAGCATGAATGTCTGGACATTTCCGCCCATCCACTTGTCACTCAGCTTGTCCTCAACGTTGGGGAACGTGAATGTCGCAAGCGTGGCTTCGGTCGCATCGACATCCATGCCGGCGTCCTTGGCGATGACTTCGATCATTTCCGCCTTGTTCTCACCTGCGTTCCACATGGCATTCGCCTCGGCCGTCACCTTCAGGAACTTGGTCAGCATCTCGGATTCTTCAGCGGCAAAATCAGCCGGAACGCTGATACCGTCAAAAACGAGAATACCGAGCTCTTCCTTCTCGGCGCCGGTCAGGAGGACATTTCCGTGTTCCACCATGCGGCGCAGGGCACCGCCCCAACCGCAGACCATGTCAAGGCTTCCCTGCGCGAAGGCTGCCGCACCATCGGCCGGAGCCATGTCAACGATCTCCATGGTCGAAATGTCGACGCCGAAGTGCTTCATCTGTGACAGGAAGCCATAGTGCGCCGCTGTCCCGATCGGCACGCCGACCTGCTTGCCTTCCAGTTCCTTGGCATTGTTCTTGTCGATTTCCAGAGCTTCGGCAACCACACAATTGTCGTTTTCCGAGTAGCTGACCGCAATGTCCGTCAGGATGAGATCCTGACCGGCGGAAGCTGCGACAACAAATGGCGGCACGCCCTGGCTGACGGCAATCTGCACATCGCCAGACGCCATCGCTGCGGACATTGCAGTGCCTGTGTCAAACGAAACCCAGTTGATCGGAACGCCCAGGGCTTCTTCGTAATGGCCCTTTTCCTTGGCGTATTGGAACGGCATCGGCCATTCCAGGAAATACGCGACTGTCAATTCCTGAGCCGCGGACGTTGCCGGCAAGCCGCTCATGAATGCCAGAGCTGCCAGAGAGCCGATTAGTTTAGATTTGTAGGTCATTTATGCTTTCCCACTGTTCCCTCGATACTTTGCAGACGCGCAGGTATTCCTGTCTCTTGCCACCTTCGTCGAACGTTGGCTTGCCTGCATATGAAAATGGTTACGGCAGAACGACGCGGTTACAATAGAAACACTCAACTGGATCTAAAGTAAATCCAGATCTGGCCCTATATGTCCCCACGCCCCCGTGTTGACTGAAAATAATTGATGCAATGGTCTGCTTGAATTGTGAGCAGGCGCACAAAAAACTGCTTGCGCAGTCCAGCATCGAATTCGCCAAGTTTCGAGCATGCCGATGAGAGACGAAAGGACATTGCCATGAACGTTGCAGCTTCTCCGAATGATCTGAGTGAAATCATCGAAGCCGACCGCAACCACGTTTGGCACCACCTGCTTCAGCACAAGGGGCTGGAGATCAATGATCCGAAAATCATGGTGGAAGGCAAGGGTATGCGGCTCTGGGATGCGACCGGAAAGGAGCATCTGGATGCTGTTTCTGGAGGTGTCTGGACCGTGAATGTCGGCTACGGGCGCGAATCCATTGCAAATGCGGTGCGCGATCAGCTGATCAAGCTGAACTACTTCGCCCATTCGGCCGGATCGATCCCGGGATCGCTGTTTTCCGAACGCCTCATCTCGAAAATGCCGGGCATGAGCCGGGTGTACTTCACCAACTCCGGCACAGAGGCGAATGAAAAGGCGTTCAAGATGGTCCGTCAGATCGCGCACAAGCGCTTTGGCGGCAAGAAACACAAGATCCTTTATCGGGAGCGGGATTATCACGGTTCCTCAATCACCGCGATTTCCGCCGGTGGCCAGCAAGAACGCAATGCCCAGTATGGCCCCTACACGCCAGGCTTCGTCGAGGTGCCTCACTGCTGCGATTACAGGGCCCAGTGGGACGTAGACAATTACGGCGAACGTGCCGCCGACGCGATCGAGGAAGTCATCCTGCGCGAAGGCCCGGACACGATCGGTGCGCTCTGCCTGGAACCTGTGACCGCCGGGGGCGGCGTCATCACCCCGCCTGAAGGCTACTGGGCGCGTGTGCAGGAGATCTGCAAGAAATACGACATTCTTCTTCATATCGACGAGGTCGTCTGCGGTGTGGGACGCACCGGCACCTGGTTCGGTTACCAGCAATACGGTATCAAGCCGGATTTCGTGACAATGGCAAAGGGCGTCGCTTCCGGTTACGCCGCGATCGCCTGTCTGGTGACGACTGAAGATGTCTTTGAAATGTTCAAGGACGATGCCAGTGACCCGATGAACTTCTTCCGCGACATCTCCACCTTCGGCGGCTGCACTGCCGGACCGGCGGCAGCGCTCGAGAACATGCGGATCATCGAGGACGAAGGCCTGCTCGACAATACCACCTTGATGGGTGAGCGCCTGATGTCAAACCTTCCCGGCCTGATGGAAAAACACCGGGTCGTCGGCGACGTTCGTGGCAAGGGCCTCTTCTGTGGCGCAGAGCTTGTGGCTGATCGCGCGACCAAGGAACCGGTTGCTGAAAAACTGATGCAGGCGGTTGCAGCAGACTGCATGGCCCAGGGTGTGATCATCGGCGTCGGCAACCGGGCGGTTCCCGGCCTGAACAATGTGATCTGCCTGTCGCCTGCCCTGATTTCCACGCCGGATGACATCGACAATATAACAGACGCCATCGACGGTGCGCTGACGCGGGTCTTCAGCTAGCGAGCTCCGCGTTCCCTCTCAAAACCACCTGGGCATGGCAAGTATCATTGCCATGCCTTTTTCCGTTTTTTGACCCGCGTTCAAACCAAAGCCAAATTGTATTTGCCAATTCGAATGCGGCAGCTAATTATAAGTCCAGCTGCAAACAGAATTAGGGCCAGATATGGCAATTCCAGCCGAAACGTTTTTTCTGCGCCCAGACAACGAAACGTCGCTCCAGCAGCAGATCCAGCGGCTTATCGTTGAAGCCATCCTGTCAGGTCGCTGTCTGCCTGGTGAAAAGATGCCCTCCAGCCGAAAACTGGCAGAGCATCTGGGTGTTGCCCGCATAACTGTCACAATCGCCTATACCGAGCTTGTCTCCAACGAATATCTCGTTTCGAAAGGGCGCTCCGGCTATTTCGTTTCCCAGACCGCACCAAGCAGGCCGAAATTCAACCTGCCGGATCAAGCCGACAAAACTCAGGTGGACTGGGCGCGGACCATCGGACAGCGGTTTTCCGAACACGTTCCCCTGGTACGGCCGGACAACTGGCGCGATTACAAGTACCCTTTCATCTACGGTCAGTCGGACGCCAGGCTTTTCGACCATCACAACTGGCGAAACTGTGCCCTGAAGGCAGTCGGCCGCAAGGATTTCGACACTCTGGCGACAGATTATTACGAGCGTGACGATCCCATGCTCGTCGAATTCATATTGCGGCAGATCCTGCCACGGCGTGCAATCACCGCACGGCCGGAGGAGATCCTGATCACGATGGGCGCACAGCACGCGCTCTGGATCACCGCGCAAATCCTGCTGACACAGCGACGCACGGCGGCAATCGAAAACCCCTGTTATCCCGGTCTGCGGCAGATCCTGAGCCAGACCCGCTGCAATACCGTATCGGTAGATGTCGACGCCGCAGGCCTTCCACCGGAAAACCTGCCGGAGACTCTCGACGTGGTCTTCACGACACCCAGTCATCATTGCCCGACGAATGCCACGATGCCCGTTTCCCGCCGGGAGCGCCTGCTGGATCTTGCTGCCCGAAAGGGCTTCATCATCGTGGAAGACGACTACGAGTTCGAAATTTCCTTTCTGAAGTCTCCATCACCGGCCTTGAAATCGCTCGACCCGACCGGATCGGTTATCTATGTCGGGTCCTTCTCAAAATCGCTCTTTCCAGGCCTGCGGCTCGGGTATCTGGTTGCGTCGGAACCCTTTATCCGTGAAGCACGGGCCTTGCGTTCCCTCGTCCTTCGACACCCTCCCGGACTGATCCAGCGCACCGCCGCCTATTTTCTGTCCTTGGGCCATTACGATGCCCAGATTGCGCGGATGGGCAGGATCTACCGCAAACGAAGGTCCATCATGGAGCAGAGCCTGCACGAGAACGGCCTGACCCAGACCGGCCAGGGAACGTTCGGCGGCTCCTCATTCTGGATGCGTGCGCCCAATAGTGCCGACAGTTCGAAGCTGGCGATGAAACTCAGGCAGGATGGTGTGCTGATCGAGGCCGGGCGTGCCTTTTTTCCGAAGGCGAAGAGCAGCCCGGATACTACCGCCTCGCCTATTCTTCCATTGCCTCGGCCCGGATTCCCGACGGCATTTCGCACCTCGCCAAGAGGCTCGAAGAAGCAGTCCCGTAGGATGCTTTTTCACGGCTGAAATCCCCTTCCGACACCCGTCTTGAGAATGCGACTGAAAAAATTCATTCGCTCGTGAAATTTTTGTTGATTTTTTCATTTTGAAGCGTGAAATTATCTTCGAAATTTTCACGAGCAGGCCGACATGATGAACAGCAACAGTCTGGGCGAAGACCTCAGGGCTCTCAGGGGAGCCCGCAAAATGACGCTTGAGGATCTTGCCCAGAAACTCGGGCGGTCGGTCGGCTGGCTCTCGCAGATCGAACGGGACATCTCCACGCCACGTCTGTCCGACCTGCGGCAGATTGCAGATGTTTTCAACGTACCGCTGTCGATTTTTTTCGGCAGTACTGAAGCACCGGACGAAGAAAAGGGCCGTATCGTTCGCTCTACCGCGCGCCGCGTGATCGGAGAACGGGACGCCGGCCTCGTTGAAACTCTTGTGTCTCCAGACCTGACCGACAGTTTCGAAATGATCCACTCGACGTTTCAACCGGGATCGCGACGCAGCAAACCGATCTCGCGCGCCACGCAGGAAGTCGCCTACATGATTTCCGGCAAACTGGACATCTGGCTGAACGAAGACGAATTCACAGTCGAAGCCGGGGACAGTTTTCGTATCCGCAACGCATCTTATCGCTGGGCCAATCCCTATTCCGAACCCGCAGTCGCCGTCTGGGTCATTTCCCCGCCGGTCTACTGACCCTTTTTCGAGAAGGAAATCCGAATAATGTCCGTCCCGTCTACAGCCCGTGTCGTTATTGTCGGCGGTGGTATTGTCGGTGTGTCCACCCTTTATCACCTGGCCAAAAACGGCTGGTCTGACTGCGTCCTCCTGGAAAAGAACGAGCTCACCGCCGGCTCCACCTGGCATGCCGCCGGTAACTGCCCGAATTTTTCAGGCAGCTACGGCATCATGAACATGCAGCGATATGCGCTGGAACTCTATCGAGGCCTTGCCGACGAGGTCGACTATCCGCTGAACTATCACGTCAGCGGTTCTCTGCGACTGGCACATAGCCATGAGCGGATGATGGAATTCGACCATGTTGCCGGAATGGCGCGGCACATGGGCCTTGAAATGGATATGTGCACACCGCAGCAATTGCAGGAACGCTACCCCTTCCTTGAACTTCACGATCTGGAGGGAGGCCTCTGGGATCCGCTGGATGGTGACATTGACCCTGCCCAGGTCACACAGGCGCTGGCAAAGGGAGCGCGCACCCACGGCGCCAAGATCCTGCGCTTTACACCCGCGACCGGTGTCAGCCGCGAAAACGGTGAGTGGATCGTACACACTGAAAAGGGAGACATCCGCTGCGAATACGTCGTCAATGCCGCCGGCTACTACGCCGAACGGGTCGGCGAATGGTTCCTGCCTTTTGGCGGCCGCCAGGTCCCGATGGCCGTGATGAGCCATCAGTACTTCCTGACCGAACCGGTTCCGGAAATCGCAGAGTGGAGTGAAAAAAACGGCCGCAAACTGCCGCTGCTGCGTGATGTGGACACGTCCTACTATCTGCGCCAGGAAACCACCGGCTTCAATCTTGGACCTTACGAACGCAATTGCCAGACAGCCTGGACGAGAGCCGATGACCCGATGCCGGACGACTTCAGTTTTCAGCTCTATCCCGACGACCTAGATCGTCTGGAATGGTACATCGAAGATGCCATGGCACGTGTTCCCCTGCTCGGAACGCAAGGGGTCAGCCGCAACATCAACGGTCCCATTCCCTACGCACCTGACGGCTTGCCTATGGTCGGCCCGATGCCGGGCGTTCCCAATGCATTCGAGGCTCATACCTTCACATTCGGGATCGCACAGGGCGGTGGCGCAGGCAAGGTCGCTGCCGAGTGGATCATGCATGGCGCGACGGAATGGGACATGTGGTGTGTCGACCCGCGGCGCTACACGGATTACACGGACAAGCAGTATTGCATTGACAAGGCCAAGGAGGTCTACGGCCATGAATATGCAATGCATTTTCCGCATCATGAATGGCCGGCTGCGCGTAACAGGAAAACCTCTCCCAACAATGACAGGATCCTGAAACTCGGCGGCCAGATGGGGAGTTACAACGGCTGGGAACGGGCCAACTGGTTCGCCAAGCCCGGGGACGACGCGTCCGAAGAGGCGACGCAAACCTGGTCCCGTTCGGGGCCCTGGGAACCTCGCGGTCGCGAAGAGTGCGAAGCCGTGCGCGACACGGTCGGCGTTCTGGATCTCTGCGGTTTTTCCCGCTTCAGCCTCTCCGGGGAAGGCGCTGCCGAGTGGTTGCGTGGGAAAATCGCCGGTGGCCTGCCCAAGTCCGGACGCATGAATCTCGGCTATTTCCCGGACAACCGGGGGCGCGTCCTGACCGAAATGTCGATCATCCGGCATGGCGACGACGACTTCACTCTCATCACGGCTGCCGTTGCCCAATGGCATGACTTCGAGGTCCTCAAATCGGATCTGCCAGATGGGCTGACGCTCGCCGACCGGACCAGAGACATGACGACCCTCATTGTTTCAGGTCCGAAGTCCAGGGATCTCCTGAGCAACCTCACGGATGCCGATCTCGGTCTTGGCTGGCTGACCCATCAGCAGACCACGGTTGCCGGAAAACCGGCGATGCTTGTCCGGGTCTCGTTCGCCGGCGAGCTTGGATGGGAAGTCCATGCGGATATGGAGAATATTTCCACGATCTATGACGCGATTCTGGCAGGAGGCGCCAGGCCATTTGGAATGTATGCACTCAATGCACTGCGTCTTGAGAAGGGCTACCGCGCCTGGAAGGGTGACCTTTCTACCGATTACACCCTTTTCGAGAGCGGCCTCGGACGTTTCGTGAAACTCGACAAACCCCAGGATTTCCCGGGGAAACAGGCTCTCCAGATCGAAAAGCAGCAGGGCCCAGCCAAGGGTTTCGTGACGCTGACGGTCGATGCCGGGGATCTTGATGCGCCGTATATGTCCAGCATCTGGAAAGGCGATGAGATTGTCGGTGAGGTGACCTCCTGCGGCTGGGGCTACCGGGTCAACACCTGTATCGCACTCGGCGTCGTGCGATCCGGCCTGGACGCGCCCGGCACCGACCTTGAGGTCGAAATCTACGGACAAAGATACAAGGCCGTCGTTCAGCCGGATCAACCGCTTTGGGACCCGGAAAACGAACGGCTTCGGGCGTGAGCCGGACTGCCGAAGAATACTGCAACCAGTCGGCATTGAAATCGGAGGAATGCGCATGACCGGGAGTGAAGTCAAACAGCGCCGCCGTTCCGGTGGGCGTTCTGCCCGCACGGCAGCGCGCGCGCGTCCGCTCGATGAAGCGATCCGGCCGGTCCGGCCGGGCATGCCGGGCGGGCAGCTCCGGCCGTTGAAGGAAACGGACGTAGAGCGCATCAACGAGGCCGCTCTGCAGGCTCTGGAGGAGATCGGTTTCGGCTCCGCTCCAGCTTCCGGGCGAGCCTATCTCAAAGAGGCCGGTGCGATCGAGGGGGATGACGGGCGAATTCGTTTTCCGCGCGCGCTTGTCGAGGACATGCTCGCAAAGGCGGCCCGGAACCTCACGCTGCACGGCAGGGATCCGAAATTCGACCTGAACCTGTCGGGCACGAATGTTCACTATGGCACGGCAGGTGCCGCGGTTCATATCGTCGATCCGAAGACCGGCGACTACAGGCACCCGACAGTTCAGGATCTCTACGATGCAGCACGCCTGGTTCAACGGCTGGACAATGTGCACTTCTTTCAGCGCCCTCTTGTCTGCCGCGAATTCGAATCGTCTCGAGAACTTGACATAAACACTGTCTACGCAGCGTGCGCAGGGACAACGAAACACATCGGAACCTCGTTCACCGAGGCCGCCAATGTAGCTCCGGCCATGGAGTTGCTGCACGGGATCGCCGGCGGCGAGGACGCCTGGCGGGAGCGCCCGTTCGTCTCGAACTCCAATTGTTTTGTTGTGCCTCCCCTGACCTTCGCCGAGGAAAGCGGTGAGGTGATGGAAGCGTGCATTCAAGCGGGAATGCCCGTGCTGCTGCTGTCGGCCGGTCAGGCCGGGGCTACCGCACCAGCGCCAATCGCAACGGCCGTCGTGCAGGCTGTTGCTGAATGTCTTGCCGGCGTTGTTTATGTCAATGCCATCAAACCCGGCCATCCTGCGCTGTTCGGCACCTGGCCATTTGTCAGCGACCTGCGGACCGGTGCAATGTCCGGCGGCAGCGGCGAACAGGCCCTGCTGAGTTCCGCCTGCGCGCAGATGCATCAGTTCTACGGCCTGCCGGGTGGCGCGGCAGCCGGGATCGCCGACAGCAAGTTGCCGGACATGCAGGCCGGCTGGGAACAGGGCATCAGCAATGTCATGGCCGGGCTGTCCGGTCTTAACATGGTCTACGAGGCTGTCGGCATGCATGCATCGCTCCTGGGTTTCTGCCTGGAGTCCCTTGTGCTCGGCAACGATATGCTTGGTCAGGTCTTGCGCTGCGTTCGCGGCATTGATGTCAAGGACGAGTTCGTCAACATCGATGTCATACGCTCGGTGGTACTCGACGGTCCCGGCCACTATCTCGGCCATGACCAGACGCTTCAACTGATGCAGAGCGAATATGTCTATCCCGACATTGCGGACCGTTCGAGCCCGAAGGAATGGGAGGAACGCGGCAGACCCCGTCTGCTCGACAGCGCCCAGGAAAAGATGCGCAGCATCCTTGCAGACGACGGGCACACGATCGACGCAGCGGCCGAAGAAGCGTTACGGGCAGTCCTGCCCCTTGCCGAACTTTCAAGGCCCTGAAGGCAACCCATCTCAAAAAACCAAAACCAGAAAGAGCATAAAGTGACACCTCCATCAAAAGCCCGCGTCGTCATCATCGGCGGTGGCGTTGTCGGATGTTCCGTCGCCTATCACCTGACCAAGAAAGGCTGGACCGACGTTGTCCTCCTGGAACGCAAGCAACTGACTTCAGGCACCACCTGGCATGCGGCCGGACTGATCGCCCAGTTGCGGGCGACGGAAAACATGACGCGTCTCGCCAAATACAGTCAGGAGCTCTATGGCAATCTCGAAGCGGAAACGGAGGTCGCGACCGGTTTCCGCCGCTGCGGCTCGATCACCGTGGCGCTGACCGAAGAACGCAAGGAGGAGATATTCCGGCAGGCATCGATGGCACGCGCGTTTGGTGTGCAGGTGGAAGAAATCACGCCTGACGAGGTGAAATCGCGCTACGGGCACCTGAATACCGACGGTGTTGTCGCCGGTGTTTACCTGCCGCTCGACGGTCAGGGCGACCCGGCCAATATTGCGCTGGCGCTTGCGAAAGGTGCCCGCATGGGCGGTGCAAAAGTGATGGAGCGTGTCAAGGTTACCGGTCTGCAGAAATCCGGCCGCCGGGTCACCGGTGTCGAATGGCAATCGGCTGCAGGCAACGGCATAATCGAGTGCGATCACGTGGTCAATTGCGGCGGTATGTGGGGACATGAACTGGGACGCATGGCAGGCGTCAACGTACCCCTGCACGCGTGCGAGCATTTCTATATCGTGACCGACAGCGTTCCCGGACTGACGCACCTGCCTGTTCTCAGGGTCCCTGACGAATGCGCCTACTACAAGGAAGACGCCGGCAAGATTCTTCTGGGAGCCTTCGAACCCAATGCCAAGCCCTGGGGCATGAACGGTATTTCGGACGATTTTGAATTCGACCAGTTGCCGGAAGATTTCGACCATTTCGAACCCATTCTGGAAGCAGCGGTCAACCGCTTGCCGCTGCTTGCCGAAACCGGCATTCATACATTCTTCAACGGACCGGAGAGTTTTACGCCGGACGATGCCTATCACCTGGGTCTGTCTACGGAAATGGACAATGTCTGGGTGGCCGCGGGGTTCAATTCCATCGGCATCCAGTCTGCGGGCGGTGCGGGAATGGCACTGTCCGAATGGATGGATACCGGAGAAAAGCCGTTTGACCTCGGTGACGTCGACATTTCCCGCATGCAGCCCTTTCAGGGCAACCGCCACTATCTGTTCGAGCGGTCCAAGGAAACGCTCGGCCTGCTCTATGCAGATCATTTCCCCTATCGGCAGAAGGCAACGGCAAGGGGTGTGCGCCGGACACCGCTCCACGAGCATCTCAAGGCGCAAGGTGCCGTTTTCGGCGAACTGGCGGGATGGGAGCGGGCCAACTGGTTTGCCGACGAAGGTCAGGAGCGCGAATACCGCTATACGTGGAAACGGCAAAACTGGTTTGACAATGCCGCCCGCGAACACTTGGCAGTCCGCGAAAATGTCGGCATCTACGATATGTCGTCCTTCGGCAAGATCCGTGTCGAAGGACCCGATGCCGAAGCCTTCCTGAACTATGTCGGCGGTGGCGACTATTCCGTGCCGGACGGCAAGATCGTCTATACGCAGCTGTTGAACGATCGCGGCGGCATAGAAGCCGATGTGACGGTGACCCGCATCTCGGAGACCGCTTATCTGGTCGTCACTCCGGCGGCAACACGCCTTGCCGACGAAACCTGGCTGCGGCGGCATGTCGGCGACCACAGGGTCGTGATCACGGATGTTACCGCCGGCGAAGCGGTTCTGGCCGTCATGGGACCGAAGTCGCGGGCACTCCTGCAAAAGGTCTCGCCGAACGACTTCAGCAACATCGTCAACCCGTTCGGTACAGCCCGGGAAATCGAAATCGGCATGGGCCTCGCGCGCGCGCATCGGGTCACCTATGTCGGCGAACTCGGTTGGGAAATCTATGTTTCGTCAGACATGGCCGCGCATGTGTTCGAAGCACTCCACGAAGCGGGCAAGGAGCTAAATGCCAAACTGTGCGGAATGCACATGATGGACTCCTGCCGGATCGAAAAGGCTTCCGGCACTTCGGCCATGACATCACGTGTGAAGATCACGTGCTGGAAGCCGGACTCGGGTTTGCGGTCAAAAGAGACAAACCCTCGTTCATCGGTCGCGATGCAGTGCTGCGCAAGCGCGAAGCAGGTCTCGAAAAGCGACTGGTACAGTTCCGCCTGACCGACCCGGAACCGCTCCTCTACCATGCTGAACCGATCCTGCGGGACGGCAATGTGGTCGGTTTCCTGAGCAGCGGAAACTACGGGCATACTCTTGGGGGTGCCGTTGGCCTCGGATATGTGCCCTGTCCCGGGGAAAGCGTGGAACAACTGCTGAGCTCGTCTTACGAAATTGAAGTCGCTGGTGTGCGGGTCAAGGCCGATGCGTCCCTCAAACCTCTTTATGACCCGAAATCGGAAAGGGTGAAGGTCTGATCAACTGATGTAAAACTCCCTCGAGCGCAGGGCTTCAGCTTGTGAAAATCCAAGTCCGGCTCGTCTATCAATTAATTTTTGAGACCTATTGTCTCAATTTTTAATATCCGGTAACAATGACCTGACGATGGCGAAGGATCGGATTTGACCTCTTCTGGCCTTATGATGCTTCGCAATCTGGCCCTAAGAGTGCGATGGAAAGTCGAGTTAAATCTCTTCCCAACGCATTATTTGCGAAAAGAGATTTTCTTGAATTCACGGGAGTATTCGACATGAAAATGACGACCGAGGAAGCCTTTGTCAAAGTGCTTCAGGCGCACGGAATAGAACATGCATTCGGCATTATCGGCTCTGCCTTCATGCCGATTTCCGATCTGTTCCCTCAGGCCGGCATCAAATTCTGGGACTGCGCGCACGAGGGATCGGGCGGGATGATGGCGGACGGTTACACCCGTTCCACCGGCAAGGTCAGCATGATGATTGCCCAGAACGGGCCCGGCATCACCAACTTCGTCACGGCTGTCAAAACCGCCTACTGGAATCACACACCGCTCCTGCTCGTCACACCGCAGGCTGCGAACAAGACGCTTGGCCAGGGCGGGTTCCAGGAAGTGGAACAGATGGCACTGTTCAAGGACATGGTCGCGTATCAGGAAGAAGTCCGTGATCCCACGCGCGTTGCCGAAGTGCTGAACCGCGTGATCTTGCAGGCGAAACGCGCAAGCGCACCGGCCCAGATCAACATGCCTCGTGATTTCTGGACACAGGTTGTCGATATCAACCTGCCTGCGATCGTTGATTTCGAACGCCCCGCCGGCGGCGAAACCGCAATCCTGGAAGCGGCCGAACTGCTGAGCACCGCGAAGTTTCCGGTCATCCTGAATGGCGCGGGCGTCGTTATCGGCGGAGCA